CTCACTAGTGTACAAGTCCCACTCAGGTCCAACCCTCTCACTAGTGTACAAGTCCCACTCAGAACCAACCCTCTCACTAGTGTACAAGTCCCACTCAGGACCAACCCTCTCACTAGTGTACAAGTCCCACTCAGGTCCAACCCTCTCACTCATGTACAAGTCCCACTCAGGTCCAACCCTCTCACTAGTGTACAAGTCCCACTCAGAACCAACCCTCTCACTAGTGTACAAGTCCCACTCAGGTCCAACCCTCTCACTAGTGTACAAGTCCCACTCAGGTCCAACCCTCTCACTCATGTACAAGTCCCACTCAGAACCAACCCTCTCACTCATGTAAAAGTCCCACTCAGAACCAGTCCCTCTCACTAGTGTACAAGTCGCACTCAGAACCAGTCCCTCTCAATAGTTACAAGTCCATTCAGAACCAGCCCTCTCACTAGTGTACAGTCACATCAGAACCAGTCCCTCTCACTAGTGTACAAGTCCCACTCAGAACCAGTCCCTCTCACTAGTGTACAAGTCCCACTCAGAACCAGTCCCTCTCACTAGTGTACAAGTCCCACTCAGAACCAGTCCCTCTCACTAGTGTACAAGTCCCACTCAGAACCAACCCTCTCACTAGTGTACAAGTCCCACTCAGAACCAACCCTCTCACTAGTGTACAAGTCCCACTCAGAACCAACCCTCTCACTCATGTACAAGTCCCACTCAGAACCAGTCCCTCTCACTAGTGTACAAGTCCCACTCAGAACCAACCCTCTCACTAGTGTACAAGCCCCACCCCGGGAACCCCAAACCCTCCATAGTTTTACAATTCCCACTCAAAACCCCAACCCCTTCCTGGTGTACAATTTCCCATCAAAAACCAACCCTTCCTAGTGTAAAAAGCCCACTCAAAACCCAACCCCTCTAAACTAGTGTACAAGTCCCACTCAAACCCAAACCCTTCTCACTATGTAAAGTCCCATGGGCCAACCCCTTCCATAGTTTTCAGCCCACTCAAAACCCAACCCTCCCCACTATGTACAACCCCCAAATCGGGAAACCAACCCTTTTATAGGGGTAAAAAGTCATCAAAAACCAACCCCTTCATGGGGGTCAAGCCCCAAACTCAGAACCAACCCTCTCATAGTGTCCCAAGCCCAAATCGGGAAAACCAAAACCCAAAATTTTGGTTAAAAGCCCAAGGGAAAAACCCTTTATTTAAACCCCATTTTCCCCCCTTCACTTGTAAAAGGGCCCTCAGTTTCAGGTTTATTCCACTCAGAACCCTTTCCCTTTACAGGGTCATGTCCCATTTGAAAAAACCCTCTCATTTTACCCCCTTTTGAAAAAACCCTTTTAAACTTTACCCCCCACTGGGCCAATTCCCCCCCTTTTGGGAAAAAACGTCGGGGCATTTTTTCTTTTCCATTTAATTTTAAAAGCCCAGAAAATTTTCCCACTTGTCCCACGTAAAGTCATGTTTCCCCTTGTTAAACGTCAGTCTTGTTTCCACTTGTACATTCAGTATTTTTTTTCCACTTTTTAAAACCTAAATCATGTCTTCCATTGTACATTCATTTCATGTTTTCCCATTTGTTACCCTTCAGTCATGTTTCCACTTTACCTTAGTCTTGTTTTCCCAAATGGTTTAACGTCAGTATTTTCGCCCAAACTTGTACAGTCGTTTTTGTTTCCATTGTACACTTCATTTATGGGCCCCAATTGTACACGCGGGTCTTTCCTTTCTTGTCATTCGTCATGTCTTCCACTTGTTAAACTTCAGTCTTTTTTCCCAATTTTTCACTTCGGTCATGTCTTCCACTTGTAATTTTCGTCATGTTTTCCACTTGTACACGTGTTGTTTTCCTTTTGGTCCCAATTTTCAGTCATGTCGCCCCTTTGGGCATTCAGTCTGTTTTCCCAATTTTGTAACTTCAGTTTTGTTTTTCCAACTTGTACAGAAAGTTGGGTTTCCACGGGGAAAATTCAGTATGTTTTCCCACTTGAAGTCAGTAGTCTTCTTTTAAACATTAAAAAGGAATTTTAAATTTATTTTTTTAATCTGGAGCCCAGAAGGGGCTGCGTAATCTAGATAGGTCTTACTAATGAGTTAAAGGTTGTAGTAAAATTTGGGCCCCCTGTTTTTAAAATTCCCAGTAATTGTTGCTTTATTACGTACGTTTAGGCACTTTTGTCTTGGTTGTTACCATTCTGTATGACTAAATTCTACATTGGTGGTGGCCTGGTGGCTACATCTCTCGCTTCACACACAGAGGGCCCGGGTTCGATTCCTGGCGGGTTGAAATATTTCGACGCGTTTCGGCGGGTTGAAACATTTCGACGCATTTCCTTACACCTGTTGTCCTGTTCACCTAGCAGCAAGTAGGTACCTGGGTGTTAGTCGACTGGTTTGGGTGACATCCTGGGGAACAAGATTAAGGACCACAATGGAAATAAGTTAGACAGTCCTCGATGACGCACTGACTTTCTTGGGTTATCCTGGGTGGCTAACCCTCCAGAGTTAAAAATCCGAACGAAATCATATCTTAAATTATTTAGTTTATAAGTACTAGGGTTATGAACATTCCCGAGTTTCAGAACTTTGTACTTACGTACATCGACCTGCGTCTGCCACTCTTCTGGCCACGAATTATGTCTAAATCCTCCTGAAGGATCTTCCTCTGAATCAATAATCCTGTATTTTTGTATCGCCAGTGATACATATCACTAATAATTCCCTCATCAAGGTCACTGATATATATTATAAACAACAACGGACCCAAGACTGATCCCTGTGGTACGCCACTTGTTACTGATCCCCACTCGGATTTAACCCCATTTATGTAAGACACATATGCAACAGTTAGGTATCTTTATTTCGAAACGTTTCGCCTACACAGAAGGCTTCTTCAGTCGAGTACAGAAAAGTTGATAGAAGCAGAAGATACTTGAAGACGATGTAATCAGTCCATCACCCTTAAAGTTTTGAGGTGGTCAGTCCCTCAGTCTGGAGAAGAGCATTGTTCCGTTGTCTGAAACAATATGCTTCTATCAACTTTTCTGTACTCGACTGAAGAAGCCTACTGTGTAGGCGAAACGTTTCGAAATAAAGATACCTAACTGTTGCATATGTGTCTTACCTAACAACCTGTCGGTATTTTATACCATTTTAATGTTCAACCCCATTTATGCACACACTCTGCTTCCTGTCAGTGAGCCATGACTCTCCATGACAACACTTTACCCCCCAATACCATGAGTTGCCACTTTCTTCAGCAGTCACTGGTGTGGTACTCTATCAAAAACCTCACTAAAATCTAAATAAACAATAGCAACTTATTTATCCTGATCAACAGCCTCTCGTGAATCCATGCTGATTATCATTAATCTGATTATGATAATTAAGATGACCTCTTATAATATCATCTATAATTGACTAGTAATTTGTTTACAGTTGAGATCAGGCTAATTAGCCGGTAATTTGACGGAAGTAAATATATTACCAGTACATGTACAAGGTATACCAGTACATGTACAAGGTATACCAGTACATGTACAAGGTATACATACAGTACAAGGTATACCAGTACATGTACAAGGTATACCAGTACATGTACAAGGTACACCAGTACATGTACAAGGTACACAAGTACATGTACAAGGTATACCAGTACATGTACAAGGTACACAAGTACATGTACAAGGTATACCAGTACATGTACAAGGTATACAAGTACATGTACAAGGTATACAAGTACATGTACAAGGTATACCAGTACATGTACAAGGTATACAAGTACATGTACAAGGTATACAAGTACATGTACAAGGTATACAAGTACATGTACAAGGTATCAAGTACATGTACAAGGTATACCAGTACATGTACAAGGTATACCAGTACATGTACAAGGTATACAAGTACATGTACAAGGTATACCAGTACATGTACAAGGTATACAAGTACATGTACAAGGTATACAAGTACATGTACAAGGTATACCAGTACATGTACAAGGTATACAAGTACATGTACAAGGTATACCAGTACATGTACAAGGTATACCAGTACATGTACAAGGTATACCAGTACATGTACAAGGTATACCAGTACATGTACAAGGTATACCAGTACATGTACAAGGTATACCAGTACATGTACAAGGTATACCAGTACATGTACAAGGTATACCAGTACATGTACAAGGTATACAAGTACATGTACAAGGTATACAAGTACATGTACAAGATATACAAGTACATGTACAAGGTATACAAGTACATGTACAAGGTATACAAGTACATGTACAAGGTATACCATACATGTACAAGGTATACAAGTACATGTACAAGGTATACCAGTACATGTACAAGGTATACAAGTACATGTACAAGGTATACCAGTACATGTACAAGGTATACAGATCATAGCTGACATCAGTGACATACTACTATATAGAAAGTCGCTAGTTATGCTGAGCATTTCCCGTAAATTAGGTCAGTTTTGTCCCAGGATGTGACCCACACCAGTCCACTAACACCCAGGATGTGACCCACACCAGTCCACTAACACCCAGGATGCAACCCATACCAGTCCACTAACACCCAGGATGTGACCCACACCAGTCCACTAACACCCAGGATGCAACCCACACCAGTCCACTAACACCCAGGATGCAACCCACACCAGTCCACTAACACCCAGGATGCAACCCACACCAGTCCACTAACACCCAGGATGCCACCCACACCAGTCCACTAACACCCAGGCACCTATTTTATTCTCCAGGCCCACTGTGAAAATTAATTACTGGGACACAGTTAGTGTTTTCCTCTGTAAAGATGGCCAGAGTTAGAGAGGACAATCTTCCCTCTAACTACAGCTGTGTGCACCTCTGATACACCTCAGGTGCACTTCACGTGCACCTCAGGTGCTTCTCAGGGGTACCTCAGGTGCTCCTCAGGTGCTCCTCAGGTGCACACACACAATAATTGATGATAAATTTAGGTGTAAGATGGTGGTCCAGGTCAAGGTGAGTCCACAGAGCCAGGTCAAGGTGAGTCCACAGAGCCAGGTCAAGGTGAGTCCACAGAGCCAGGTCAAGGTGAGTCCACAGAGCCAGGTCAAGGTGAGTCCACAGAGCCAGGTCAAGGTGAGTCCACAGAGCCAGGTCAAGGTGAGTCCACAGAGCCAGGTCAAGGTGAGTCCACAGAGCCAGTGTTGAGCATCAAGACATGTGCAACACTTCTGTGTCATTAGTGATTAAAACGTTTCGCCTACACAGGAGGTTTCTTCAGTCAAATACAGAGGCAGCAGTGGTAATGAAGGTGAGGTAATCACTCCATCTGCCTATGATAATTGTGCCTATGTCTGCCTCTACCTTAATAAACTTACCCAATGACTGACTGACTGACTGACTGACTGACTGACTGACTGACTGACTGACTGACTGACTGACTGACTGACTGACTGACTGACTGACTGACTGACTATAGACCTGCTAAAAGCCTTTATGGTTAATGTACAAATAACTTGCGATATTAATATTCTAGTTGACCTTAGATCTACGACTGTCTGGCTGAGGGACTGATTACCTTACAACTACGAGAGAGACCGACTGTCTGGCTGAGGGACTGATTACCTTACAACTACGAGAGAGACGGACTGTCTGGCTGAGGGACTGATTACCTTACAACTACGAGAGAGACGGACTGTCTGGCTGAGGGACTGATTACCTTACAACTACGAGAGAGACGGACTGTCTGGCTGAGGGACTGATTACCTTACAACTACGAGAGAGACGGACTGTCTGGCTGAGGGACTGATTACCTTACAACTACGAGAGAGACCGACTGTCTGGCTGAGGGACTGATTACCTTACAACTACGAGACAGACCGACTGTCTGGCTGAGGGACTGATTACCTTACAACTACGAGACAGACCGACTGTCTGGCTGAGGGACTGATTACCTTACAACTACGAGACAGACCGACTGTCTGGCTGAGGGACTGATTACCTTACAACTACGAGACAGACCGACTGTCTGGCTGAGGGACTGATTACCTTACAAACTACGAGACAGACCGACTGTCTGGCTGAGGGACTGATTACCTTACAACTACGAGACAGACCGACTGTCTGGCTGAGGGACTGATTACCTTACAACTACGAGACAGACCGGACTGTCTGGCTGAGGGACTGATTACCTTACAACTACGAGACAGACCGACTGTCTGGCTGAGGGACTGATTACCTTACAACTACGAGACAGACGACTGTCTGGCTGAGGGACTGATTACCTTACAACTACGAGACAGACCGACTGTCTGGCTGAGGGACTGATTACCTTACAACTACGAGACAGACCGACTGTCTGGCTGAGGGACTGATTACCTTCAACTACGAGACAGACCGACTGTCTGGCTGAGGGACTGATTACCTTACAACTACGAGAGAGACGGAGAGAGGGAGGGAGAGAGACGGAGAGAGGGAGAGAGAGAGACGGAGAGAGGGAGGGAGAGACGGAGAGAGGGAGAGAGAGAGACGGAGAGAGGGAGGGAGAGAACGGAGAGAGGGAGAGAGAGAGACGGAGGGGAGGGAGATAGACGGAGAGAGGAGGGAGGAGGACGGAGTAGAGTGGAAGTGGAGAAGACGAGAGGGGAAGAGACGGAGAAAGGGAGGAGAGAAGACGGAGAGATGGAGGGAGAGTACGGAGAGGGAGGGAAGAGACGGCGAGGAGAGAGAGGACGGGAGAGGGAGGACGGAGAGAGGGAGGGAGAGAGACGGAGAGAGGGAGGGAGAGAGACGGAGAGAGGGAGGGAGAGAGGAGAGAGAGAGACGGAGGAGGGAGAGGAGACGGAGAGAGGGAGGAGAGAGGACGGAGAGAGGAGGAGAGAGACGGAGAGAGGGAGGGAGAGAGACGGAGAGAGGGAGGGAGAGAGAGGAGAGAGGGAGGGAGAGAGACGGAGAGAGGGGGAGAGAGAGGGGAAAGAGGGAGGGAGAGAGACGGAGAGAGGGAGGGAGAGAGAGGGAGAGGAGGAGAGGGAGGGGGGGAGAGACGGAGAGAGAGGGAGGAGAGAGACGGAGAGAGGGAGGGAGAGAGGAGAGAGGGAGGGAGAGAGACGGAGAGAGGGAGGGAGAGAGACGGAGAGAGGGAGGGAGAGAGACGGAGAGAGGGAGGGAGAGAGACGGAGAGAGGGAGGGAGAGAGACGGAGAGAGGGAGGGAGAGAGACGGAGAGGGAGGGAGAGAGACGGAGAGGGGAGGAGAGACGGAGAGAGGAGGGAGAGAGACGGAGAGAGGGAGGGAGGAGGAGAGACGGAGAGAGGGAGGAGAGAGACGGAGAGAGGGAGGGAGAGAGACGGAGAGAGGGAGGGAGAGAGACGGAGAGAGGGAGGGAGAGAGACGGAGAGAGGGAGGAGAGAGACGGAGAGAGGGAGGGAGAGAGACGGAGAGAGGGAGGGAGAGAGACGGAGAGAGGGAGGGAGAGACGGACAGGAGAGAGGGAGGGAGAGAGAGACGGAGAGAGGGAGGGAGAGAGACGGAGAGAGGGAGGGAGAGACGGAGAGAGGGAGGGAGAGAGACGGAGAGAGGGAGGGAGAGACGGAGAGAGGGAGGGAGAGAGACGGAGAGGGAGGGAGAGAGACGGAGAGAGGGAGGGAGAGAGACGGAGAGAGGGAGAGGAACGGAGGAGGGAGGAGAGAACGGAGAGGGGGAGGGAGAGAGACGGAGAGAGGGAGGGAGAGACGAGGAAGGGAGAGGACGGGGGAGAGGGGGAGAGAGACGGAGAAGGGAGGAGAGAGAAGGGAAAGAGGGGGGAGGGAGAGACGGAGAGAGGGAGGGAGAGAGACGGGAGAGGGGGTGGGAGAGAGAG